GCGATGTGCAGCAATGCTCCACGCACGCTCGATACATTAAAACTTTTCGATACTGGACGAGTTGGTTTAGGCGTCTTCACGACGACCTGGCTGGATATCGGTGACGTTGTTGGCGAGTATTGTGGGGAATTAAGTGAGCTTCCAGCAATTGTCGAGGGGCAGCCGGATCAAGCCACCAAGCAAAACAGCGGCTACACACTGCTGTACAATGCGAAGTCTACGAAACGAAACTACGTTTACGTAGATGCGCTCAAGTGCGGCTCTATCACCCGTTTCATAAGTCATTCCTGTGACCCCAACGCCGCCTTCGTAGAGCAGTCCAACCGTTCCAGCGTCAAGGTGCTTGTAAAGATGATTCGCGACGTCAAAGCTGGTGCAGAAATTACCGTACACTACGGGAATGAGAGGTGGTATAAGTGTGCGTGTGATGAATGTTGGGAGAAAACCAAAGACGACGATGGAGATGACTAGCTTGCGGTTGTGGTGCATACCCTCAGGTGTATCTCGAAGTACATAATGCTAGCAGGAAGTAAACACAGTTTTAGCATGTAAAAGGAAAGAATACAAATTCTGGAGTCATGCAAACTGTACCGCTTTCGCTTACAGGACACTTACTATGTCTGCTGAAGATGTAAGATGCTGTATAAAGTGTTTAACTGCGTCGGGGCCACACACGACGCTTGAGCAAACGTCGTGTAAGTCATTCAAAGCTAAGTGCAGGTCCGATTGTGCGCGGACGGCCTACAACCGGCAGGACCGCCACTCCATAACGTCTCCGCTTCTTCCTGTTGACTAAAATGTCGCGCCCACTGCTGTCAACGTGTGTAGTAGCTCGCAGGGCGTACAGGACGTGAATGCACGTACCAAATGCGTAGCAGTAGTCGCATTGACACCACTGTCGCTCGGCATCCACGTGCCAACCACCAAACGGCTGTCCTTCGACCTCTTTGCGGGCGTAATTGACCCCCATCTGCGCGGAAACAGCTATACCTTCCTCCGTCCGTTTATTAGGCGCCACCGTGGCACGAGGGGCAGGTAGCGATATAACACGAATGATATTGGGCTCTCCAGCTACTCCTCCACTCACTGCATCCACTTCTTGTCCTTCTGCTATCCCTAGGAGCTGTGCTCGTACCAACTCCGATACCCGACGCGCGAGGGTTGGTGTCGGAACCACGCCAAACTCGAATGCCTTCGTACTGGACGATTGATCTTGGCAACAGGCGCTCAACTCTCGTAGTAAAGTGCCCATTTTTAAGCGGCGACGTAGCGTATAGTCCCGCTTTATCAACGCGTTAAACGTTTCGGCTGGATTATTAGTCGTTGCGAAGCCACTGGGTGTGGCGAATATCTGCCACGTAGTGAAGAGACCCAATCAAACCCCTGTGTTTAAAAACCCCCCCACCTCTGTGCGTGTCTTTTAGTGAACAAAATGTGAACAACGCAGGTTTCTCCTCCACCCACGCGTCATAATGAACACGCAGCATCTCTAAAAAGGGGGCTTCACTGCGTGCAAAATGCAGGTCATATACCTCCCGAAGTACGGTGGCTGCCACACCGGAGGAAAAGCTCCGAATACGCTCTTGAACCTTCTTCATTACATGGAAGAAGCACATTAGGAAGCGGTAAGACGGATTGCCTCCAAACACCAACGCAAGGGCGTTGCACTGTGCCTTATCGCCGTCTGCCATCGCGTACTGAATGCGTAGGTCGTTCTTGGTGATCCAGAAGTAGATTCGTCGCAACGAAAAGAATACAGCTTCAAATACAGACTGAGTCTCCTGTGAGACCACAAATAGAGCAACTAGGTGAAATCTGCGCGACCTGTCAGATATCCCCACCACTATAACTGGATAGTCACACTGATTCATCTTATACGTCCCGTCAACGTGTAAGATGAAGTTCTGTGGGGGCACAGTAAGTCGCAGCATTAACGCCTTCGTTGATAGACCCACAATGAAGGGTTTCTCGTCGAACCCATTGCCCACAATCGGTTTGCCACTGCTGTCTAGCTCCCATCCAAACGTGAACGTTTGCGTCATTGTCTCCAAGCCGGTGTACGCACGCGCGTGGACCCAGGCCCTGAGCTCCTGTACTCGGTCGTGATTTTCAAGGTAAGTTCGCGAGTATTTTTTCACAAAGTTCTGGACAGTCTTTAAGGGAGGGAGATCCTCAAGAGGCGTCGAGAACTTTCGAGCTAGAGCGTGGCGAATACGCATAGGTCGGAGGTGCTCATCAGCGAGCTCGCGGCAGTAGATCTTCTGCGTAGTAGTGAGCTTCTTGCTCTTTGGAGAGGATACACGGGTGTTGTGAGCTCCATACTCGAAAATAGATACGTGCGCTGTCTCCAGGCACGTAACGATCTTTCCTCGCCACTCGCAGTCTATCTCACTAGCGTCGCAGCAAAGGCCGGAGCTGCATGTAAGTAGGCGGTAACGCATCTTGTGCTCTGCGTCAATACACATGCTGCATGCCATCGTCTGACTCTTCTGGATCTCGAACGCCTTCATCGTCTCCATCACAGCGTCGGCCGCGGCAGCGTCAATGCCGACGGCCCTCTCCTCCCACGGCACACGCTTTGGCATGGCCACACTCGCCGAACAGGAGCTCTGCGAGTGACGTCCAGCAGCTTTAAACCTATGTGGGCCACATTCGCCACATATCTGCACGGCCACCGCTGATAGGCCAGCGAAGACCCAAGCTCACCTTGTCTGCGCGCTTCCTGCAGCGAGCAGAGCCGAAACCACTTATTGTGTTACTACAGCACTCTTCTGTGCTGACACATTCTGACGGTGTTTTAAGTAATTCACGGTGCCATGATGGTACTGTTTTGTGCAATTACAGCGTGCTCCGTGTTGTGTTTGCACATTCTATGGGTGCTCACCCATTTTTGGTGTGGGAAGGCCGTACTGTTGGGTGTAAATCACTCGTTCTCGATATGAGAACGTCGAATAGCCCCTATAACGAACGAAGTCGCAAATAGTTACGTGGAGAGTTTAGCCGTAACCACGGCGGATAGTGTTAGCCGAAAGTTTGCCTCTGGAATACCGACTCGCGGGATCGGTAGGTAATGGAGTCCATAACGATACCTTTTGGTTGGCGAACTCATCAGAGGATGGGTACCTGATGATCTCTTTTCTTTTACCGATAATCGAGCGTTCTGGCTACGGCTCGCGATAACAAGAGAAGGTTACGTTTGTTAGGCGATTTTCGCCTATTTTCATTCTACACACGTAATTTCAGCTAGCCGATCTCTATTTTCCGAAACTTGAGTTACGGTTAGCCAATGTGTTTGCGATCTCTGAGCCTGCGATGTACTACGTACTAGTCGAGTAGAATCACTGTTCTGTTGAGTTTACAGCGGCATACCGGTAGAGAGCAAGCGAGCGCGATCACCAAGCAGCGGTGCTTACTCCTGTTAAACCTCCCACCCAATTATTGTATAGATAAAAGACGTTCTGTGTCACACGGTAAAGTGCATGTTTGTATGACAAAGCTGAAGTGGCGGCTATCCGTCGACCATCCCGATATCTTCCGGACTGCACACCTTCAAAAAGCTGCGGCGAAACCAACTGCCCAAGTCGGATTATGGGTACTTGGGCATGTACGCGTAAGCGGTCAGTTTACTTGGACGCCATTCGCGGATTCGATTTCGATTGCAGTGGAATTCTAGCGAAGGGACGAAATGCATCCTAGCCGAGCGTGAAAGCGCCGTTTCCAGTAGCCTGGGATTTGGAGGAAACCACTGTACATCTGTATCTGTGTGGCCATGTTGATTCCAGCCATTCGCAGTGCTGTTCCCAAGAAATGCTGCCATTTTCCTGCCTTTTAGGTTCAATTGAACGATGTAAACCGGACATTTGGAGATTAAAATAAGTTTAATCAGGACAAAAAGTCCTCGGCACCAACAATTGCCATCCGCTGTGATCCATGTGACCTGCATTGACAGTGCAGATAAGTCTTGTCTGCGCTGGTATCCGGCAACCACATGTAGCCGGACTTTGTCCTCCCGCAGTGGAGGATGCAGTCCATCTTCGTCCAGCGTATTTCTCACAAGCCCAAGACCAATCGCTTGATCTGGCACGTGCGCTTTTAAGCTTAGTTTAGGCGACACACCGCAACCCGCTCGTTCATTCTAGGATTTACCGTCGGCAGCTCAAGGCTCACAGCGATAAACTTCAAGAAGAAGATGGCCGCTTCAGGGCGTCTGCTAGCAGCACCGCCGTCGACGGCGGTGCTCTTTCTCGCGCTTTCGCTGGTCGTAACCAGTTTCATGCATGTAACTTCAGGTCACCCGGCTTTGCGGGAAGATGATGACGATGCCACCCGCCGTCTGAGCGGCGGTGGAGGCGACAAGAACAAAACCGTGCCGTTTAACTCATGGAGCAACGCCATCGACACGCTCCAATACGTGCTGGCCTTCGTGGTTGTCCTCGTGGCAGCACACCCGCTTGGTCTTTTCTTCCCCAAATTATTCAAGCTCCCGCTTATCACGGGCTACCTGGTCATTGGTGTCATTGCCGGCCCCTTTGTATCCAACCTCTTGACCGAGGGGCTAGTGAAAATGCTGTCAAGCTATGTCAGTGCATTGGCACTGTCGTTCATCTCGTTCCAGGCAGGACAGGAGATTTATCTGCCGGAACTTAAGCCGCAACTCAAGCCTATCATGATTCTTCTCGGTGTGCTGTACTGTACGGCCATGGTGATTCTTTCAGCTGGTGTGTTGATGATGGAGAGCGCCTTCTTCTACGACGACATGGGCATGGCGTGTCAATTGGGCATCGCTCTCATGTTCGGTTCCATCTCCGTATTGGGTTCACCGGCCACTGTCATGGCCATCAAGATCGAGCTGAACAGTGTGGGTCCGTTCACGAGTCTGATGCTCGGTGCTACGATGACAGCCGAGTTCATCGTGCTCATTTCGTTCTCGATTTCTCGTATCGTGACCTCCATCTACTGCGCCAAACTGGATGTGTCAATGCTCAACTTGATGTATACCATGACTATTGTGCTGTCCAACATCTTGGTGGGTGTTCTTCTAGCTGGAGTGACGCTCCTCATTTTTAAAATCCCTGGCGGGGAGCATCACCACCACGACGACCACGGCGCTGAACACGAATCTGCGTTACCAAACATGTCGTACACGGATCAGAAAACCAATGAAAAGGTGGCCCCTATCAACCCGAACATGGAGCCCCACCCGCACAACGGAGCAGACAGAGAGTTTTCCATGGACGAACTGCACACTCCTCCTCCTTCGACTTGCTGTTTGTCGCCTAAAGCCGTGTTGTCGCTCAAGGGCTTCATTTGGCTTTCGATGGGCTACATGTTCTACATCTCCAGTAGTCTTGTAGCTGAAGCTACCGCCGCAGCCTTCGGTTTGTCGTGGGAAATTAAATTCGAAGCGCTGCTTGTGCTCATGATTGCGTCGTGTATCGCTGGCCACCACACGGGAATCCGTCACGACATGCACGTGATCCTCGACACGGCGGCGCCGTACATGTTCCTGCCGTTCTTCGTTATGACCGGTGCAGCACTGAAGCTGGACCAGGTCGTGGCGGCCATTCCGCTTATGAGTCTGTACGTCATCCTCCGGTATATCGCAATTTTCATCGCTTGCTACTTCGGTGGCCGCTACATTCTCAAGCTGACGCCGAGGCAGTACAACAACCTGTGGCTCACGATGACGCCTCAGGCTGGTGTGGCCCTAGGTCTGGCCAATGAGGTGCAAGCGATGAGTGAAGAATCGTGGGCTGCCGAGTTCTCAGCGACGATTGTGGCCGCCGTGGTGGTGAACCAGATCATCGGTCCGGTCCTGTGTGCCATGGGTTTGAGTCGAGCCGGTGAGACGTTACAGGATCGGATAGCGGAGGCCGATGCAGCACCCAAGGACATGCACAACATGGACAAGAGCATGCACGGCGGTGGCTTCAGTAACAGCGCTTATGGTGGACGCTTCAGCAACATCCACGGCGGTGGTGTGAGTCAGTTTGAAGTCAGTCGACGAATGTCAAGTCCTGGTATTACGATGGGCAACGGAGACCCTCGATCGCTGCTGCCGTTCTACAAGGTACAGAACGCAGTCGTCATCGGAGACGATGAAACCGCCTTCGAGGTCGCTCTCGAGCTCTCACTCTACGGCGCACAGGTCAACGTTCCTCTGTTGGACGAAGAACGTACCAGCAAGTGGCAGAAGATGAACGAAACAATCCTTAAACGTACGGCTAAGGGGGACCTCATCTCGTACAAGAACACTCTCAAGGACCGTGACAATGCACAGGCCATGTCTTCAGCTGACGTGTTGATCTTTACAGGCGACGCTAATCGTACGCGCGAGAACGTGCATTTACTCAAGTCTTTGCTTGGTGCTTCTCACCCTCGGATGATCGCATTGGTACCGGACTGCAAGTTCAGCAAGGAGATGAAGGCGCTGGGTGTGCTGGTGATCCAGCCGTCTATCGCTCTGGCCAATATTGCGACCCGTATGGCCTTGTTGGACCAGAAATTGGCAGAAGCTCTTTCGAACGAGATCAGTACCACAAGCGACTTCAGTACGGCTTCGTACTTCTTGCGTGGCGACGGCGACCTCGCGAATATGCGTCTGGAAGGACGTCGTCTGGCACTGGGTCGCAACGTGGTGAACCACCACTCGGTGGACTACGACCGTCTGGCCGAGGCGCTTCACTCGGAGAAGTTGCCAATGCCACCGCCTCCGTCACGTGTTTCCATGTTCGGTATCTCATCGGCTGCCAGGTTTGACCCGTTCAAGCGTGACAGGAACAACTCGGAGTTTTTCGTCATGCACGACGATAATGATACCGAAGAGATCATTCTGGATGCTCAGTATGGACCGTATTCGTCTCGAGGCAACCCTCGACTAAGTCTCCAGCGATCATCAATTCAACTTGGAGCGAGTCGCGTGCAACGTGGCGGTGGCCGAGGAAGACACACGCCCGGACGTACCAAACCCGGGTATTAAGTAAGCTCAGAAGAGTCAACTTCAACTTAAAGAGATTGTAAGGTCAAGGACATTGTGTGAAATCAAGGTGTGAATTGTCTAAGAATCTCAAGATCGTGTAAAAACATCAAGACGTCTGGATAGGACACAGGCGTGCTAGCATGTTAAATTTGTGGAAGTGTTGCTCTGTCTGCAGGTGGCTCCACTCGGACATGGTCCACCGAAACGCTCTGGAACGTTTACTGTGACAAGCACATCGAACTGCCACAACCGACCAGCGGAAGCTCTCAAACAACTTTAAAATTGGAGTTGCTTCCTGTTCTACTTCGTATTATAGCACTACATGTAGAAGTTATAAAACAGTAGTGTAGTTTGCAGGAGTCCTCCTTCTCTTTTTTTAAACACCAAACACCCTCCAGGTACAGGGCGTTATCCTGCCGAACACTCAAGAATACACTGTCCACACGTACGGTGCAGTTTACTTCGTCGAGTTGAAAGGATGTAGGGATAGACGACAGGGAATCGACTCGATTCCCTATCGTCTTCGGAGCATCGCAGAGAGGGTATATGTGATGTTAAACCAGACAATTCGTCACGACGTCACCAGTTGCCAGCTCATTCCGACATTCGCCTTCGACATCAAGCTCGAAAGCGCCAGTAAATGAGTCCGATGCGATTGAATAGCATTCGTGCCTGCTCAGTGCTACTTTTCGTTTTTACTGTGGCTGTCGCCTTCTTGCATGTCGTCTCGAGCCAATCCACATTGCGGGAAGATAACGCCGTTGGCAATGACCACGACGTAGCGCGTCGATTGAGCGGTGCCACCGGTGACCCGGACAAAACCGTGCCGTTCAATTCATGGGGCAACACCATCGAGACTCTGCGATTTGGACTCGCCTTTGTGATCGTTCTCGTCGCGGCACACCCGCTCGGACTCTTCTTTCCGAGGTTTTTCAACCTACCTCTTATCACGGGTTATCTGGTAATTGGTATTATCTCGGGCCCGTTCGTCGCCGACTTAATCACTGAGAAAAGTGTCAACATGCTTTCAAACTATGTCAGTGCGCTGGCGCTGTCGTTCATCTCGTTTCAGGCTGGCCAAGAGATTTATCTCCCAGAGCTTCGACCACAGCTGAAAGCGATCTTCATTCTGCTGTCCGCGCTGTACGTGACCGCGATGGTCATCCTAACGTCGGTGCATTTACTCGTTGAGAGCGCCTTCTTCTACGATGACCTGGCGCTGAGCTGTCAGTTGGGCATTGCGCTCATGTTCGGCTCTATCTCCGTTCTGGGCTCCCCTGCCACTGTCATGGCCATCAAGATTGAACTCAACAGTGTGGGTCCATTCACGAGTCTGATGCTTGGAGCGACGATGACGGCCGAGTTTGTAGTGCTCCTGTCGTTCTCGATTTCTCGCATTGTGTGCTCCATCTACTGCGCCGAGTTGGACGTATCGATGGGCAACCTCATGTTCACACTGAGTATTGTCATGTCCAACGTGCTGCTGGGCGTGATTCTGGCGGGTGTGACGTTCCTGATCTTCCAAATCCCCGGAGGAGAACACCATGACCACGGTCACACAAATGGCCATGAAAATTCTAGTACCGACAGCCCAAGCGCGTCAGCTTACTATAACCAGAAGACAGACGTGAAAGCTGCTTCTGTGGACATGGACAGCGCGCCGCACCCTCACAACACTTACGCCGAAGACGTCGAGTCTGCTACGACTGCTTCCTCCTTTTTAACGCCACAGACCTCACTCTGCTTGAAAGGCTTCATCTGGCTGACGATGGGGTACATGTTTTACCTCTCGACAACGACCATCGCTCAAGCCACCATCGCAGCTTTCAGCTTGTCGTGGGAGGTCAAGTTCGAGCCACTGCTGGTGCTTATGATTGCTGCGTGTATCGCAGGTCACCACACAGGTATCCGCCACGACATGCACGTGATCCTTGACACAGCAGCCCCATACATGTTCCTGCCGTTCTTCGTCATGACCGGGGCGGCACTGAAGTTGGACCAGGTAGTCCACGCCATTCCACTTATGACAGTGTATGTGTTGCTGCGGTATATCGCAATCTTCATCGCTTGCTACGTCGGTGGTCGATTCTTGCTCAAGTTGACGCCACGGCAGTACAACAATCTGTGGCTTACAATGACGCCTCAGGCTGGTGTTGCTCTGGGTTTGGCCAATGAAGTGAAGGCCATGAGTGACGATACGTGGGCCGCGGACTTCGCAGCGACGATCGTGGCCGCCGTGGTGGTGAACCAGATCGTAGGTCCCGTGTTGTGTTCAATGGGCTTGGCTCGCGCAGGTGAAACCCTGAAGGACCGTGCAGCAGAAGATCACCACGAAGACACACCCGATATCGATGGAAAGGATTTGGAACATAACGGAGATGAAGGCGATCGCAAAACACGGCAAAGCCGACTGTCGGTCAGAGCTAGTCGATTCTCGACGTATGACCATGGAGCCCCACTGCCGTTCTACAAGGTGCAAAACGCCGTTGTCATTGGTGACGACGAAGTGGCTTTCGAAGTCGCACTGGAACTGTCGCTCTACGGCGCGCAGGTCAACGTGCCTCTCCTGGATCAGGAACGCGCCAGTAAATGGCAGAAGATGAACGACACCATCTTGAAGAGAACTGCCAAGGGAGAACTCATCTCGTACAAGAACACACTCAAAGACCGTGACAATGCACAGACGATGTCGTCGGCTGATGTTCTCGTCTTCACGGGCGATGCTAACCGTACACGCGAGAACATCAAAATGTTGAAGTCCTTACTGGGCGAATCACACCCTCGGATGATCGCATTGGTACCAGACTGCAAGTTCAGTAAGGAGATGAAGGCGCAAGGAATCTTGGTGATCCAGCCGTCGATTGCTTTGGCCAACATCGCAACGCGTATGGCTCTGCTGGACGAGAAGTCGGCAGAGGCGTTATCGAACGAGATCAGTACGACGAATGACTTCAGTACTGCGACGTACTACTTGCGGGCTGAAGGAGCGCATCGGGGATCCGTGTCGGAGATGTCCTTGGAGGCGCGTCGTTTGGCCTTGGGTCGCAGTGTAGTGAACCACCATTCAGTGGACTACGACCGTCTCATGGAGACGTTGACTGCAGAGAACTTGCCGATGCCTCCTCCTCCATCTCGTGTGGCCATGTTTGGCACTTCGGCTGCTGGTTTCGACCCGTTTTCAAGTCGAGACAACGGATCCAGCTTTTTCGTCGTGCATGACGACCCAGAAGACGGAGAAGAATTCATTTTGAGCACACCACACGCACTGCCGAAATCTCGATCTCGCCGAAGGATTAGCCTTGCTTGAACATCCTGCCATTCCTTCGTAAATAGTGCTTCGAGCGACGTTCGCCATCGTCCAAACCAGGGCTAAAATTGCTGTAAATTCCTGTGCAATACCGGGTAGGTACATGTGCACGCTCACCAAATCCACATCCAGACCGATCAGATCTTCGTAATATGCTCTAACTAAACGAGAGCATCTCCACTGGAGATTCTCCGGTGGGTACACACCAGGAACTCTGAAGCTATCAGGCTTTTCCTGAAGCGTTGTGTGCTCAAGTTAACGCCATGGTAGCGGCCTACTGTACATGTCTAATTCTATGCGTGTCCGGGACATGTTCATTTTTAATCGAAGGAGACCGGGCGAATTTAATCATTAATCATGACGTAAATTAATTTGCCAAATATTAAAATTTGACGGTCACCCATTTCTTCCAATGATTGGAGTCCAATCATCTTGACATCCGGTCTTCTTATCACGTTGACAATAAAAACCAGTAATTTGCACATCAAGATCAGATGCTAGACTGCAGTCATCAGGGGGTTTAACGCCAGCGGTTAATTCCATGTCTCCCTGCCACACTCATTGTAGCTTTCGCCGCCAAGCGCAAACATCTTCGGGGATCAAGCCTCGTGTGTTAACTAGCTCGGTGTACGATGTCTTGCAGACGATTCACAAGACTTCCAAAGCCACATGTGGCCATGCTCATGTTTACTCTTTCGCTAGTTGCATCGATGCACGTCGTCTCGGGCAGTCGTGGGCTGCGCAGCGGCAAAGATATCGACCGCAGGCTCAGCACTGATGATACCGATGATGATTTAACCATCCCGTTCAATTCCTGGGACAACGCGATCGACTCGCTGCAACACGGACTCGCCTTTGTGGTTGTTCTCGTCGCGGCGCACCCGCTCGGACTCTTCTTCCCGAAGCTCTTCAAACTCCCACTCATCACGGGTTACCTGGTTATTGGCATTATCGCTGGACCCTTCCTCGCTGATCTTATCACTGAAGAAAGTGTAAACATGCTCTCGAACTACGTCAGCGCATTGGCTCTGTCGTTCATCTCGTTTCAGGCCGGCCAGGAGATTTATCTGCCGGAACTGAAGCCGCAACTCAAAGCTATCATGACTCTTCTCGGTGTGCTGTACGTTACTGCAATGATCATTCTGACGGGAGCGATCTTACTGGCAGAGAACGCTTTCTTCTACAAGGACATGGTACTCAACTGTCAATTGGGCATTGCGCTCATGTTCGGCTCGATCTCTGTACTAGGATCACCCGCCACTGTCATGGCCATCAAGATTGAACTCAACAGTGTGGGTCCATTCACGAGTTTGATGCTGGGAGCGACCATGACGGCTGAGTTTGTAGTGCTCGTGTCATTCTCGATCTCTCGCATTGTGTGCTCCATCTACTGCGCCGAACTGGACGTATCTATTCTGAACCTGGCATTCACGATGAGTGTCGTGTTGGCAAACATCGTGGTGGGCGCAATTCTGGCTGGCGTGACGCTCCTCATCTTCAAGATCCCGGGAGGATCGCATGATCACGCAGACCACGATATCGACGACGGCCTCGCGGGACGTAGCGTGTCGGCGTTCCATTCTCGACGAACAGGCCACCAGATGACCTCAGTGGATCGAGACATGGCACCTCACCCTCACAACGCCTACAACGATCAGACCCCAGTGAAGCAGTCGTGCTGGACCAGTTACATGTCGTTGGCAGTCAAGGGATTCATTTGGCTGATGATGGGCTACATGTTCTACCTCTTCACCACCCTCTTCGCTCAACAAACCGCCGCGTCCTACGGTTTGTCGTGGGAGGTCAAGCTCGAGCCTTTGCTTGTTCTAATGATCGCGTCGTGTATCGCTGGCCACCACACGGGGATCCGTCACGACATGCACGTCATCCTCGACACTGTGGCGCCGTACATGTTCCTGCCTTTCTTCGTCATGACCGGTGCGGCTCTGAAGCTGGACCAGGTGCTGGACGCAGTCCCCCTTATGAGTTTGTACGTGGTTCTTCGCTACGTCGCAATCTTCATCGCATGCTACTTTGGTGGTCGATTCATCCTCAAGCTGACACCAAAGCAGTACAACAACTTGTGGCTTACGATGACCCCGCAGGCTGGTGTGGCCTTGGGATTGGCAAACGAAGTCAAGGCCATGAGTACGGAGTCGTGGGCTGAGGAGTTTTCAGCGACGATCGTTGCGGCCGTGGTGATCAACCAGATCATTGGTCCGGTCTTGTGCGCGATGGGTTTGAGTCGTGCTGGTGAGACGTTGAAGGACCGTGCTGCCGAGGGCAGTATGCCAAGTGACAATGGCGATCACAACCTCAAGAGCCTCCACAGCGGAAGATTCAGCAGCATTCGTGGCACCAACCTCAGCAACATGCACGGCGGCAACTTCAGCAACATCAGCATGTTCGATGCCGGCCGACGCATGTCGAGTCCTGCAATGACGATGGGCAAAGATCCGCGTTCGCTTCTGCCGTTTTACAAGGTGCAGAATGCTGTCGTTATTGGAGATGACGAAGTGGCCTTCGAAGTGGCGCTTGATCTCTCGCTCTATGGTGCACAAGTGAACGTGCCTTTGCTGGACAAAGAGCGCACCAGTAAATGGCAGAAGATGAACGAAACAATCCTCAAACGTACTGCCAACGGAGACCTCATCTCGTACAAGAACACACTCAAGGATCGAGACGCCGCGCAGGCCATGTCGGCAGCCGATGTGCTCATTTTCACTGGTGATGCCAACCGTACGCGTGAGAATGTACACTTGCTCAAGTCGTTGCTAGGAGAGTCTCACCCCCGGATGATCGCCTTGGTTCCGGACTGCAAGTTCAGTAAGGAGATGAAGGCGCAGGGTGTGCTGGTGATTCAGCCGTCGATTGCTCTGGCCAATATTGCGACCCGTATGGCCTTGCTGGACCAGAAATTGGCCGAAGCTTTGTCGAACGAGATCAGTACGACGAGTGACTATAATACGGCGTCGTACTTCTTGCAGCCGAACAATGGCTACAGCGAGTCGCTATCGGAGTTGTGCTTGGATGGCCGCTCGTTGGCCCTTGGGCGAAGCGTTGTGAACCACCACTCAGTCGACTACGATCGACTTGCTGAAGTGTTCGCGGCCGAAAACTTACCGATGCCTCCTCCGCCGTCCCGTGTGGCCATGTTCGGTACGTCGGGTGCGGGATACGACCCCTTTTCGAGCAACAGAAGCAACCGGGCCAACTTTTTCGTCATGCCTGATGACCCCGAACTCTCCGTTAGGATGACCCCAGCACAGTATGCGGGTACGCCCGGCATGAGTTTGTCTCCCCGTCGCGGTGCACCCTTCAGCGTGTTGCAAACCCCGCAAGGCCCTGAAGCTCGCACGCCCGCAACAGAACCAAACGAGGAGAGCAAGCAGCCGTAAGACGGGTCTGGGACCGCCGCTCGATCCGTACTCCAGGTTGGCCCATAGGATACAGTAGGTAGCTTGTTTATTTCTTTCGGTTAGCAAAATGCGTAATATACCAATTATTCAGACGACAACACGTACTGTATTCGAAGTAAATCCAAGCTTACACGTATAGTAGGTACCGGTATTAATAACAGGCCATCAACTTACGAGGCCGTACGCATAATTCGTCATGACAAGAATGCAGTGCTGCGGCACGACAGTGGCGTTGGAGGTTTGTGTAGAATGCTCTGTACCACCTTGAAGTAAAGGAGCAATGCGCATGGAGCTCTTCGAGGGCGGAGACTGCGGATGATTCCGAATAGCCAGGGAGCGAAGGATAACTTGTCGACGTGAATGCCAAGGTGTTCTCAATGGTCACTGTCCACCGACGCAGGTCAGTTTTACGTAGAATTCCAAGTAGAACTCTACTGCTGGCTGCAATCCAAGCTATCATTGCTGCGCATGTCGCAGGGCTCGGAAAGCCCAGCGAAGCTGGCGCGAATGAAGCGGATATGGGCCGGGCCGTTCCGTGACTTCGCTTTTGTATGGGATTATACCTCGCCCATTTTGGGTTTCCAGCCTGCTATACGAAAGTGGCGGACCTGAAATGGCGACACTCCGAAGCGTTGGGTCACTCCGCAGCGTCGGCTCTATGCGAAGTATGGGATCGATGCACACTATTTCAGAGGACTACGCGACGCTGGCAACGCCCGTATCCGAGTCTGTGAGCAGCACATCGTCAGAGGAGGGCGGGGACGTCGTCGTGCCCGTGGACCAAGTACAGCTTACCGACGAAGCTGCCAGTGACCTCTCCACAGCAGTCGCCCCGGAGCCAGTTCCAAACAGTAAAAGCAAAGTCATCCCCATTATGATGAGCGTCGTTATCGGTGCGTACTTTGGTGTAGGCGTTCGTGTGCTACTCACCGAATTTGCCGACGCCATGTACGAGAGTCAGACGGAGCTATTGGAGCTGCTGGGCTTCGGCTTCTTCCTGCCGAATGTGGTTGGCTGCTTCGTCATGGGGCTTGCGACTAGGATTAAACCGGTGCTGCGCGGTCAGTATGATGTACTACTGACAGGAATAACCACAGGTTTCTGTGGGAGCTGCACTACATTCGCTAGTTGGGATCTCGGCGCAGGACTTATGTTCGTTCGCGGTCGCTGGCTGAACGCCATTTTAATGCTGTGTGTACAAGTGGCGAGCGCGATGGCAAGTCTTCGACTGGGCGTTCATGTGGCCGAGGGTGTCGTGCACTACTTCACGTTTCAAGAGTATCCTTTCCGTAAACCACCCGTGAACCTCGGACAACTCAATCTAGACCTTGAGCGGAACATTAACCATTTCCGAGAGATCAAAGTGCACACGTTTGGACCGCTGGTCGCTCGACGAGTGCATGCTACGGAGGAATCTTTGGCTATCGCTCGAGATTCGTGCATTGAGTTGATAGCGGAGATCACCCAAGTCGAACACGAGCAGCATCCGGTCCACCATCATAATACGGTTTGGATCATCACCGCACTCTTATTGACAGCGCTGTTCTGGATATTAGCGTTCTGTGGCTTTGACAATTACCCGAGTTCGCGACTGCTTGCACTCTGCTTTGGACCGTTCGGCGCGTTGCTGCGCTGGTATTTGTCGCTGTACAATAGCAATCCCGTGTGCAATCGCTTCCCGTTCTTCACTTTCGCTCCGAACGTAGTTGCGTCATGTTTGAGCTGCGTCATGGAGATCGTCGGTAGCGTCGTGTACCAGGACAGTGCTTCTGCGTACCGACATTTCGTGATGTGGGGCCAAGGAGGCGTCATGGTCGGGTTCCTTGGATCACTTTCCACGGTGTCGACTTGGGTTAACGAGTTGGATACCCTCTCTTCAAAGCGCTTGTATTGGGCCTATCGATATGGTCTAGCTAGTGTTGTTATCTCGCAACTCGCGAGTGTTTTTATTCTTGGCATGTACGACGCGTACGGCAGCGACCCTCTCATCGGATAATGCTGCTGATTTTTTATGTAGTTAATATTCACGTGACAAATATACGTGAATCAATTCGGCTTGTACAAGTAAGCACTTATCAGCTTGTACCAACCACAGCAACCCACTACGGCAGTCAAGAGTTCATGGTAAACATCGATCGCATGATTGCGTCGGTGTCTGCTCGGAGCTGGGACGATTCCTCGTAGTCGCGGAGCTCAGTTTGCATCGACCTGGGAGACGTCTCTCGAATAGCCTGCAGTGCCGCTTCACCTCCTGTACCACACCACGCAGTACCATCAGCAAGAGCTGGATCCTTATCAGACTACAGGGCCACGTACCAGCCAGCACAGCAGCATCCTGGACGACCAGGCCACGTTGATCCCTTGACAGCATCAACTCCCCCACAGCGATAACCTCCACTATCGATCAAGCACAGTATTTAGCACCCGCACCCAAGGCTCCATTAGTTTAAGTCCAGACCTCCGAAACTGCGGAGCGTCTCTGAACACTTGGTCGCGTCATCTTCCGACAGAAGTCGGCACCTTTAAAAGAACACAATGAGCTCCATCATCCGTGCTGATTCGGTTCTTTTTCACGCATTGATTGTTGACTCGCACGTAAAGTTTCGTTTCCCGTTGCTCGAGTAAACGCGCAGTAGTTTCCTGCCCATGACGCACTTCAGAGGCTGTTCAAACTTGCGTTGGAAGAATCTGCCGATCCGCGGGTACACGAGCTGCACGCTCTGCGAGCCGGCGTCGAGCACCAACTGTCCGTGTCGCTTTGAGTGTCTTAGCTTCGCTCTGCTCCCTGTGGTGTCCTCCATCACGAGCTGAGCCGAGAAGACGGAATCCGCGCGCGCCATTGTTAAATGGCGCCCTTCAACATCCACGCTACGTAGCGGTTAAATGTTTCAAAAATAAGCCGTTTCATCAAAATTTTGGGTTGAAACGATCGAAGAAAAGTCAACTTTCGCTATTGCAACTTTTGTATGTCGAAAGAGACGCTGATGGCTTCTGCTATGCGGCGCACGCTACTGCTTTCTTTTCTCGCTGTAAGCGCGTGTTCAAGAGTCGCAGCGTTCGATATTCGATGGGAGGACTACTGGGAGGCGGCCATGTATCACACGGGCCTGGGCTGTATGTGACGCTCAAATGTAGCCATACGGTTGGAGTGGAGCTGCTCACTATTCCCGTTTACGCTAGTAGATCAATGCACTTTTGTGGACAAGCCGTCACAGACAGTTCTACAACATTTACAAGATAATTTGAAGGGCCAGGAGCGAGCTGTAGAGGCGGTGGTGGGCGCAATCGAAGCCTGGGAATTCTCGTGAGTTGGCCCTCCAAGAGGAATACCGTTTTGATGGGTTTACCTGACTGTACTATTGTGATTTCCTGCAAGACGGAGCTCCACTAAAGACCGCGCACCACTTGTGCTGGCCATCACGGGACCAACGGGAACGGGCAAGACGGAGATGTCCAACCTGGTCGCTGAAGCGCTGTTCAAACGCAAGAAAAAGCTACCCAATAGTGAGAAGCGCGTACCGTCTGGACTGCTGATCTTCCGGTGAGTGACGGTGGTTGAGTGGTGATGTCATGGGTAGGACAGCTTTTTAAAATCTTGCTGCTGTTGCTGACGATAGTGGAGAAGATTTTAGCGACAATTTTACGAACCCGATTACTGAGTATCACACGCAGATCAAGACGAGGTAGGAGCTACTTTGCAACGAGGTTGCGGTGCTCTGACACTACTAACGTATGACTTCACATTGCAGACTTGCGGAACACTTGCACCACTGTTCAGGAAAAGCCATCGTGGTGATCGATGAAGTGCAGAAGGTGATTCCACACACGCTTGACGGTATGATAACGTCCTGTTCGTGGTTAAATCCGGACAATATCGATAGAGCTAACATTATACTTGTACTGCTTGCTACTTGCTGCAGTTCTGATGGAGGCTGTGAGTGAGAGCTCGCAGTTTTCCTACTACAAACATGGAGTGACGAAGAACATCGACACCGCCAACGTATGTGAGCCCCGAGACCTGAATTTGAATTAGGGAAGTGCTTTTTGATTTAGCACTTACTTGTTGTGCACATCTACGCAGGTAATTTTCGTGCTGGTGTCAGATATTGGCGTCGGAGAGATGGAACAGGTCATGATTCAGTACGACACTCGGGACGAGATACCCACGGTTCAGCTGGAAAGAGTTGTCAAGTCTGCTCTAGACGATCAGTGGAAGCGACTGGACTTTGGCAAAATGATCGATCAGGTACAGCGAGCTTACTATCCCGTTGTCGCCATACTCTTGCCTCACTCTTTTCTTTTCTTGCTGCTTAGGTCATCCCGTTCCTGCCCTTCGAGCACCAGCATATCGTCGAGATCATTGCACTCAAGCTCCGGCAGCTGGATGAAAATTACCGTGGCAAATACTGGCATCGACTGTGGATTGAGGTGCGTCCTCATCCGCGAAACTTTGCAGTTTATTCTAACGCCTTGTGTGGCGTGCAGGACAACATCGCGGACTACATGTCTCGTCTGGACTCGGTGCACTACAAGGTCCGCTCTGCTGTGGTGAACGGCAAGGTAAAGTCCAGTAAAGTGTTCGCAAAGTATGGCGCCCGTGACGTTGAGACGGGCCCAATTCAATTGCTCAAGTCGAAGTTGCTGCGCTACTTGCGGCCTTTCAATCCCGACGCTGAGATCCGGATATCGCAGGACGTTGATACCAAGGAAATCGCCATCGTCTCTTGCGCTAAAGAACACTTTAAGCAGAAGAAGAGGACCAAGAAGCAGAGCCAAACTGCAGCAGACATTGGCGTCTCGGACGACAGCGAGTTTGTGAACATCGGTTGCGTCACTAAATGGGCTGGTCGGTTTGAATAACCGGTATATCGATTTAAATCTTTTTTTCCACCAATCATATAGTATCGTTGTTTAATTTTCATCCAGTAAGGTATCGGTATCTTTTCGCTTGGGGGGAGATTTTGCAACTGAAGAGCGACACTATGAGCGGGCTAGAGTCATCGGAGATCTGGGGCGCGGATGAGGGCTTGGACCCGGAGATCCTGCTCATGTCGAACGAGGAGCTGCGCCAGCGCATCCGTCTGCTGGACAACGACATCCGTATCATGCGTAGCGACATCCAGCGCATTAATCACGAGAGCAACTCGCAGCGAGAGCGTATTAAGGAGAACAACGAGAAGGTGAAGCTCAATAAGCAGCTGCCGTACCTTGTGGCCAACGTGGTGGAAATATTGGAGCTCGAGGACGACGAGGATGAGCAGGACGGCGCCGCGACGGACGTAGACGCCGCCCGTAAAGGCAAGAGCGCCGTCATCAAGACGAGCACGAGGCAGACGATTTTTCTGCCCATCCCTGGACTCGTGGACTCGACCACGCTGATCCCTAACGACCTTGTGGGTGTAAATAAGGACAGTTACCTTATCCTGGAGAAGCTACCGAGCGAGTATGACTCGCGTGTGAAGGCGATGGAGGTGGACGAGAAGCCCACAGAGGAATACAGTGACATTGGTGGACTGGATAAGCAGATCCAGGAACTCGTAGAGGCTGTGGTGCTGCCTATGACGCATAAGGAAAGGTTTGAGGCGATTGGCATCTCGCCTCCCAAGGGCGTGTTGCTACACGGCCCACCTGGAACGGGTAAGACGCTGCTGGCTCGAGCTTGCGCCAAGCAGACCGACGCCATCTTCTTGAAGCTGGCAGCCCCACAACTGGTGCAGATGTTCATCGGTGACGGTGCCAAGTTGGTGCGTGACGCATTTGAGCTGGCCAAGGAGAAATGCAAGGACCAAAACAGAGGCGGGGCAATTATCTTTATTGACGAGGTGAGCTTGGGTGAAAAAATTTAGGACTGGAAGGGGGCGATGCATTTCTGATATTTGTGTTTTTTTTTTTCTGGTAGTTGGATGCCATTGGTACCAAGCGATTCGGTGGCGAACAGTCTGGCGATCGAGAGGTGCAACGTACGATGCTGGAGCTGCTGAATCAGCTGGATGGCTTCACGAGCAACACGAAGATCAAGGTCATCGCTGCCACGAATCGTCCTGATGTGCTGGACCCGGCACTTCTCCGTTCTGGACGTCTGGATCGCAAGGTTTTTTTGTTTTTGCGTATATACGCGCTTTCGAGCCTTCTTTAAAACTGATGGTGGATTTATTGTTCTGTTGCGAAGATTGAGCTGCCGCACCCGACAGAAGAGGCACGCGCTCGTATCTTGCAGATCCACTCGCGTAAGATGAACGTCGACACGGAAGGTAAGCGACAGCAATCAGCTTTGGACTTCAGAGCTGCGTATAACTTGACGCGTTGATACCTTTGCAGACACCAACTTCGATGAGCTGGCGCGTTCCACCGACGACTTTAACGGTGCACAGCTCAAGGCGGTACGTTATATTTCCATTCCAGTATTTTTATTCTTTATTTAATTGAGGTTCTTAATCTGGGTTGTTCCTCCAGGTCTGCGTTGAGGCTGGTATGCTTGCTCTGCGTCGTGAGAGCAACGTGATTAAGCACGAGGACTTCATGGAGGGCATTTCGGTCGTAGCGGCCAAGAAGAAGGCCACACTGCAGTACTACGCTTAGAACAAGCTGTGAACTGTAAATGAACCATTCGGAAACGATACGTTGTTGCTGGCGTTAAGTGTATCGGAGGGTCGTTTTCCTTTCGTTGCTGGAGAGTTTTCGTGTTTATTTTTGAGGCGGCTGTACTCGTTGCACGTGATGATTTACTGAGTAATGCGCCCGTTTGGGAGCGATTGGAGTGCGGATCAAGTAGATTGTGCTTCAGCGTCATCACGCCTGATACATTATTTTGTCGGTGGCAAGAAGTGAAGAGCAAGCATGGATGCCAAGCTCGAGGATGAATCCTCGCCGCGCTACGATTCGGAAGGTCGGAAAAGGAACTCGCTCGACCAAGCGAAGGTGAACGAACTGCTGCTTGTTGCTTGCCCCTACGTCAAAACATAAACGTTTCTTGACTTATTGGTGCTGTGTTGCTTCACTCACACCAGCAATTAGTACGGAAAAGCTCTGCACAATTACTACACATACTTGATACGAGTAAGCCGTCACCTACAGAAATGGTAAGAAGCCTAAACGTACACTTGGACAAGATGAGATTGGATACATTGAACAATGCTCGTGGCTTTCTACAGAACTTAGACCTCGATGCCTTCTACTATTCGCGATTACGTCGCCGTACACAATTTGCTCAGCAGATCAGCAATACATTAACGGCTGCGGGCGTTCCAACAGATTCTGCTGCTGCCGGCGCAGCTGAAGCTTCGAGTCCTAGCAAAAAGCGTGGAATTGGCATGACACTTTCACCCGGAGAAGAGTACGAAAATTATCAAAAAGTGCAAGCGACAATGCTGGGAGATGACGCTTTATTTATTACGGAAGACGGCATGGGTATGGTTCATCAAGAAGAGGAAGAAGAAGACGACGATGAAGAGGAAGAGAAACGTGCATCCCACAATGAAAAAGTGTTGCCACTCAATCAGCTAACAGGTGACGCAACAGATCGAGAAGAATTGCGAAAAGCTGCTGGCATCACGATAAAAAAGACCCAAAAACGACGCTCAGCGCTAACGGAACGAACAATTCGCGGTAAGGAAGATCTAACACGTCCGACAGCTCGAATGATAGACCCGCTTGGCCGCTTTCGTCTCTTTTGGGACCTCACGAGTATCAGTTTCATTTTCTACAACGCTATTGTTTTACCGGTAAGCAAGAGCACCGAAAACTTTCAGTTATACTGTCTTCTCATTGCTACATCTGCTGTGCCTATAGTTTAAGGCAACATTTGATGTGGAGGCCAAGGACAACCCATTTGAGACCGTGCTAGATGTATTTTTTCTTATCGACATTGTACGAGATGCTTTTCGTTACCCCAGTGGATGGCACACTAACTGTTGTTGTAGATATTGACCTTTAATACTGCGATCGAGAAGGAAGGCTCTATACGGTACAATCGCCGACTGGTAGCAGAGACGTATCTCAAGTCGTGGTTTCTTGTGGACCTAATTGCAGCCTTACCGTACGGTTATATCTTCACCGAAGATGGCCATTACAGTGCGACTCTGAGGAAATCTGTCAAACTGCTGAGACTCATTCGCTTATTACGGCTGCTCCGCATCTCACGCATCTTACGACGCATTCAGAACGCCGTTTTCATTCGATCTACTCTCAGCTCACTCATGAAATACTGCCTCATGGTAATCTTTATTAACCACTGGTTCAGCTGTATCTTTCACGCTATCGGATCAAGCAACATCGAGGAGAGCTGGATAAGGGCCCAAGGTCTTGAAGAACCAGATGCGAACAAGTGGGATCGCTACGTGGCTGCGTTATACTTCTCCGTCCAGACACTGTAAGAAATGGGGTAATATTTTTATATTTATCATAAAGCGTTGACAAACAAGTTCAACTTTGTGTGCTTGCAGCTCAACTATCGGCTTCGGGGATGTGGCTTCGCAAAGCGCACACGAGCGACTGTTTTGCGTGCTTGCAATGATTGTCGGTGGAGGCATCTTTGCCTACGGTATTACCAATGTAAGTGCCAATTCGAACCCAGAACACACTCACGTATTCCTGGTTAATCATTTGTTTTTTTTTCAGATCGTAGAACTTGTGTCAAGCCTGACGATCCAGGAGACCGTGTTTCGACAAAAACTGGATGAAGTGAACGAGTACATGAGCGCGCGTGAGCTGCCAATTAAGCTCCGCATGGAGATTCGCGAGTTCTACCACAACACACGGCAATCACGGGAGAGTAAACTCAACTCGGAGCAGCAAATTCTGAACGATCTGTCGTCCAAGTTACGATCAAAAATCGCGTTGAGCATTAACGATCAATTCTTGCGGAAGTTCCCATTTTTCACAGGCAGTGAACCCAATTTTTTGATGGAACTCGCACTAAACATGCGCGTGATCCATTTCGCTCCACTTGAAGACGCAATTATCGAAGGAGAAATCGGTCACGAGATGTTCTTTATCTTCCGTGGCGCTGTGGAGGTCGTGAAGAAGAACGTGCGCATTGGAATCCTGGGCGAGAATCAATACTTCGGTGAGATGGCCATCTTGAGTCCCGACAATCGCAGGACGGCAACAGTGCGAACGCTGTGCTTCTGCGAGCTACGAATGCTCTCACGTGCTCGCTTTCTAGAGGCGCTGGCTCTCTTCCCAGCGATGCAAGCGAAGATGGCGCAGATTGCACAGGGTCGCGCTGCCGCGGTGAACTTTGATCCGATTAATGAGAAACAGAAGCAGAAATCGGGCCATTTCAGCGGCAACAACCTCATGACGGCAGCAGCAGCGTTCTCCTTGTCGCCACCTCTGAAACCGGAGCAAAAATCATTTAAAGCTGCAAACCCACACCTAGCTACGACTGCAAACGGGAATGCGGTAGCGCCAACACCAGCGTCCACTATTGCTCCGAGATCCCCCACGTTCGCTCGCCATTTATCGGCTGCGCGGTTGCCTTTAGAGCAACGACCTTCGGAACGACTCGCAACCCACATCCGTGCACCGACTTCTGTTCGGATAAACAGCAACGTACGTCGAAGCTCTGGCAACGTCGGGTCGGTTGGAATTAGTCCGGTCATGTCGATCATGATCGGTGAAATCACTTCCTTACTTGAAGAAGCCACTCGTCGACAGGATCTTCTAATGACTCAAGTACGCACGCTGAAGGAAGACGTTGACAGGATACGTATGCCTGTGACGGACATGGACGAAAGGAGAAACACCAACGAAGATCTATCTGACATTTTCGAAAAGAACAACAAGTGAGCGATCGATTGGTGTCTACAGTACAATGACACCCAGATCAGCCCCAGAGATCAGCGTTACGAGATCGTTGCGGGCTCCTGTGCTAGAGGCACGATGTACAACTCCAGATCTGTCTTATTGGCATCTTCGGGCAGCGTTAATCCTCGTTTGCGCTCCATCTGCTCTTGCAGTTGGTCATAGTGTTCGAAATCATCCCAAGCACTTGAGCGGCTATCGAACTCAGTGAAAATGGACAGGAACTCATTGGCCTACACAAGAGCATGACTCAGTTATTAGCTCTACTAGCTCTACCCGTGTCTGATACAAGTACCCGAATCCAGCTTACCTCTTCAAACAGCACTTCTTCACAGTCCCGACACGATGTGATGGACTTTTTCGAAGGCGTGTTGCTCATCCTGACACCCGTGAAGACGTAGTTGGGCACGTCTTTGACCAGCAGCCATTCGACTTGGAAGAACCCTTCGTACTTAAGCTTCTCCCACAACTGGAACTGCGCATCCGTCCTCACCCCCGACGTCATGCGAGCGACTCCATTAAAGTGCTTGGTGCCACACACACTGTCAAAATAACGTTAGTCACACTCCAGACGTCGAAGTATCAGAACTAACCTGAAGAAGAATAACACTGGCCTCACTGCTGTCAAGTCACTTTTAAAGACTTGATCTAGCAGCGCATTGTGCATTGTAGTGGTGCTCCAGATTCCATATTTGAGGCTTTTGTGGAAATTGGCCTCGCTGAAAGACTTGAGCACAAAGCAGCGGCACGTGGCGGAGGTGAACACCTCGCGCACCAACTCTGCTTGCTGTGTGTTTATTGCAAAATCCTCATCATTATCATCTTTCCCGTCTTCTTTTAGTGCATAACGTGGCGCAAGCTTCGGCCGTCGCTTCTTCTTCTTCCCGACTGTAGCGGAGCTTGTCATCGCTTTGCGAGTCTGCTGGCGGACAGTTGAACCTGCCTAACATCATTTTTACGCTATAGAACAGGTTTTGGCTAAGTTGAAGTCACGTCTATTAGCGTATCTGTGGCAGCGACATCATGTTCGTCTGCGTCATTCGCTTCGGCTCCTCGAAGTTCTACTTCTTTGTTTGATCTGCGGGCTGTAGATACCAACACATCATCAACTGTAGGAGACTCGCTTGAAAGCTGACGCTGCGACTTGCTGACGGCTGCTCCGCACAGCTGAAGCAATGCCTCTTGTTTGTTGCGAGCTAGCACCTGCGTCGCGGTATTTCCGCCTCGATCTGCGAGCTCTGCATCGGCACCAGCTTCCAACAGCAAACGTGCCACTTGATGCTGTCGTTTCCGAACAGCGAGCAGCAGCGCACTCTCACGTCGAGCCCCAGCTCGGGCGTTCACGAAAGCTGTAGCCATGACCTCATCCTCAAGACTTTGCTGCTGCGCTTTTGGAGCTGTTAGTAGTGCTTTACAGATGGTAAGCAACCCATTCGCTGCTGCAAAGTGCAAAGGTGTGAAGCCCTGGTGGTTGGCAGCTTGCCACTTCTCAGTCTCCATAACACTGGATCGACGAGCTTTGTGCCCCGCTGTCAATGAAAGTGTCATCGCTTCAAGCAACAACATGGCACACTCTTCGTGGCCGTGCTCACATGCTGATAATAAGGCTGAGCTGTCTGTCGCCCCATCTAGTAGCGTAAAATCTGCACCTCGTTCAAGAAGCAGAGTTACTACGTCGCCGTGTCCATATCGCGAAGCTAGCAATAAAGCAGTAGATCCTCCTGATACGGCAGAGCTCGTTGTCGCTCCAGAGCCTACGCTGATAACCACTTGCTGATTGACTGCAGCGCCATGCTTAAGAACCAGTCGAACAATTTCACAATGACCATTCATACTTGCTGCAAGCAGCGGACTAAGCCGAACATTCACGTCTGCAGCGGAATTGTACACGACACCAACTTGTCCGATAGCGAGAGAGTTTTCCTGTGTGTTCATAGTCTCAAGTAGTCGCACAACCACGGGTGTCAGCCCTTCCAGACTCGCCAGCAATAGTGCCGTCACAGCTTTCTCGTTGCTGGCATGAGGGTTGGCCCCATGGTTCAGTAGCCAAAGAGCAGCTTCGCAGTGTGCGTACTGCGCCGCGGAGATCAGTGGCGTACTCTCCCACATACCTCGGATATTAACCAACTCTTCATTTGTGCCCTCTTCACTTTCCTCTTCTTGAGTTTCAGGAATCTGTGACCCTGGCTGTTGTTGATACTTTTGTAACAAGTCCTCCATCGCAGAGACGTCTCCACGTTTCACAGCCTTGAGAAATTGTACACGGAGATCTGCGCGACTTGAGTTTCGACAACTGCTTTGTGACGACTGACTTGATGCCTGTGGGTCTGGTACCAGCGTGTTAAACTTGTGGTGTTTGTTGTTCTTGTCCTTCCCAGTTTGCAAGAGTACACTGTCCGCCACAACAGAAAGAGGCTGCTGCGGAGCCACCGAATTCCTCGAGATAAGTCCGCCCATCACTCCAATGAGGAGCGTGGAATTGTGAGCGCTTCAAGCAGACAGTTGTTGAGAGGCTTAAGAGGTGCCTCCTATTCGTCGTTGAAGTAGTTCCATAACTATAGATAGGGAGTTACATGTATCACAACTGCAAATTATTTGAAATGCTCATTTGTTAATCTTTCGTTTAGCTGTCTAGCCCAGCTTAAATGAACTTCCGCCGGGCGCTTCAAACATCCGACGAGTTCGTCGCTGCTGGTTGTTTTCACTGTCCTGGCCACCCATTCCATTCGCGAAGTAGTCCGATCTACTGCCCGAGTAGTCGTTACGACGAACTACCGCCAACGCAGTGCTTTGTTGCAAGGTCTCCCACGAGACAGCTCCCGGCGCGGCGGTAACGCGATCGCGGCGCTCTTGTGCAGCTGTCGGTGGGGCGTAGTACGACAGCCCCGCAGCTCCTGCATCGGGAGTTTTGATGTTGTTGTCGCCGTGTTCGGGAGCTTCAGGATGTTGAGGATTTGAGCGACGCGACTTTCGTTCGTCAAGGTAGGACGACTGGTTGTCGCCACCACCAAAGATCAGTGAGCCCATAGTCGACCCCCCCAGCTTGCACTGTCGCGACATGAAGAATTCGATACTTTCTAGCGATCTTGAGCTGCACGAGAACACTTGAAAAGTGCCACGCCCACCAGTAAAGCTCTGTTGAGAAAACTCACCGTCTATTTGCGCGCTAGACGGCATGGCTTAGTGGCAAATTGAAACCATCGCTTTTTGGTTTCCTGTACGCTGAATCAGTCCATCAGTGGCGATCTCGACGACTCTCTCGATTGTTGCTGAGACTCCGTCTGCTTCGACGGCGAGTTGGGTGGTTGCGGTCCTGCCGACGGGAACTTCTATCTCTGCTTCGGCTTCTCCTCCTCCTGCTGTGACGCACGGGAGACCTCTTCCTACTGCTGGATCGCCCTCTCGATCTGGATCTAGATTTGGAGTGACGTGTTCTGCTAGATCGTTTATCCTGGCGTCGGCTTCGATTGCGCACTTCAAGCGCATCAGTAGAATCGCGCCAATCTACAGCTAAACTGCGAGCAGACAGGGTTTTGCTAGGCCCATTGACACCGTCATCGACATCGCGAAACCCACCGCCGAGCACAAGCTCTCGATCCATTTCGAGACTGAGTCCGATCATGTGCTTCTGGATCATTTCGCGGTATGCCGCAGGACCGATCTTCGTGCCAACCTTCCCTCTGTACGAAGCTCGTCGACGCTTGTAGTCGCGTTCGGCAGTTGCATCACTCGATTGGGGTTGAGCGTTTGTTAGTTCTGCGCTTGGAGATGCAGCACGACTTGTCCCTGAAGATTCCACTTGAATCTTATTAACTGTCTTCGTCGTTTCCAGCTTCTATTGAGTCCAAACACAGTATGTTAGTTTACCAATGATAACCAATCTGTCAGCCACATACACGTACGAATACACTACGCAGTCCGATCTCGACAATCATAAATTTCCAAAGGGCGAGCACGATTTTCTGGTAGCGGAAGCAAGTCATTGTCAGTAAGACTGGCTTCTTCAAACTACACCAAGCACACAACTGACGTTAACGTTGCTACCAAGAAACTCGTGAAGTTCCAATACCAATAAATCGGGCTGACAGAAGTCTGGGTGGTCCAGCAGTCCTGCCACATATTCAACCAGCTCTTCATCGAGCTGGTCATCTCCAGGAAGTACTCCAGGACGACCAAGCTCAGCGTTCAACCACCGGCGCAATGACAAGGAAGCTACCAGTTCGCGTTCGTCGTCTTCCATGGAAGCAAATGCCTGCGGGATACGCTGCCACGCTTGTACTTGCTGATAGAATGCGGCTGCAGACGTTGCAGTTCTTTGAATCGCAGCGACCACTCCTTCTTGTTGTCCCTGGCCGTCTGCCTCTGCCTCCACCAAACTCTGTAATGCAGTGATCTCTTTAGACCCCTCTTCGGCCAAATCTGCATTGGTCTGTGTGTCGTCTACAGCATTTACGCGGTTGCGACTGCCATAGTAGAACTGCCAACACAAGGCCTCTTATAATCAGTTTGTGATACTTTCAAACATGATTGCACCAAGCACCTTACAGCTCCATTATTGATAGCTGGAAGTCTTCGTTCTCCATGGCATTTCCACTATGGTCAAGGCAGCACCAGGATAAAGTGTCAATACCAAAGATCGACTGGATAATATACCTGTTGTCCCCACCAAATGCCTCGCCAGCGACGTTTTTGACACGAAATGCTCGTTCAAACCCGATCCACAAGACACGAGCTCCACTGCAGGCTTAATGTTCACCCGGGTCGTCTCTAACAGCGTCTGCAGCGCATCCGACACCTGTGTTGCGTATGCCGCATAACCCGCAGCCATTTTGGAGCCAGTGATTTGATTGTACCATTTGCGCACACTATGATTGCACCACCCAACACTTGATTGGGTATAAAACTCAAATAGAGGCATTTAATTGGATGAAAAGCGAAAGAAAACACAACCACTGAGAACGAAAGGCAGCAAACATAGTCGACCAGTCCGAGATGGAGACCCCCTCGACCGAGACCCCAGCGCTTCCGATCACCACCTCCTTGCAAGCCACGGAGATGGCATTAGCTGCTCTCCCCATGCCGGAGATGTCTGTGATGGTGCCAACTAAATTATCGGAAATGTCACTGGAAGCGCCGCCCAAACTGGCGGAGATGGCTTTGGAGATCCCAGTCGAAACATTGGTTATGGAATCGTCGGCGAAATCGCCCAAAGAGAAGCGCAAAAACCTCACGGACCAGCAGCGTGTGACGATCGTTCACTACCTATTGGCAAATAGTGCCGGAGGACGACTCAAGCACGGGGACATGAAGGCTGCTGCTACTCACTTTGGGGTGCATCGTGCTACGATTCGTCGGTTGTGGAAGCTGCACACGGCGTCCAGTACGACGGACGGGTTGGCAGGCAACGTCGCCAGTCGGATCAAGGGTCATTCGGGACGGAAGCCGAAGGTGCCGGACGAAGAGCTCAAAGTTCGCATTGCAGCGGTTCCCGCGGAGCGCCGAATGACTGGGAGAGGACTGTCGACGGCGCTTGGAGTAAGCAACAGTGTGGTGGTGCGGCTGATCAAGAGCGGCAAGCTGCGACGCCACCCCAAAAAGCTACACTACATCATGTGAAGAAGTGGACCCGTCGTTTATCAAGCAAAGCTTTACTTTTACTTCAACGTGTTGAACCTCCTTCTTATCCTTGTCATTCTTTATCCGAGTTATTTAGCGTACATACCATCACTTAATTCAGCCAATCAGCGGCAGCTCCACGTGGCCAAGTCGAAGTAAGATCGCGACAACACCACGTCAAGGCGTCAGGCCATAAAGAATTCCGCGGACTGAATCTTAAGTGAAGAACGCTGGAGCATTCAATCTCGTAATGTCTTGCTGGCAATTCCTGTGCGTAGCGCTGCTTGCGTTTCTGGGCGCGTTGCAGCTGGCAGCCGCCGATGACGCCGCTTCCAACGTGATCGTGCTCAGTAACGACGACTTTGAGCACAAGACGCAAGCAGGTTCGGGCGCCACGACTGGCGACTGGCTCGTCGAGTTCTACGCGCCATGGTGCGGCCATTGTAAGAAGCTGGTGCCCATCTACGAAAAGGTGGCGAGTGAACTCAAGGGCCAGGTGAATGTGGCAAAAGTTGATGTGACGGCCAACGCTGAGCTGGGCAAGCGCTTCGGCATCCGCGGCTTCCCCACGCTGCTGCACTTCAGCCACGGCAAGTCGTACAAGTACTCGGGCAAGCGCACGCTTGAGGATCTTGCAGAATTTGCCCGCGGTGGCTTTAAGAAGGTGGAGGGCGAAGTGGTGAACGCCGCCCCAAGCCTCTTGGACTTCGCCGTGCAGCAGGCGGAGGACGTCAAGAGGGACTTCATCACGCTGCTGGCCACCAAGAAGAACGTGCTGCTCGTGACCTTCTCCGGAGGGCTTCTTCTCGGTCTGCTGCTCGGCTGCATGTGCGGCTGTTGCACGAGCCGCGGCAACAAGGCACCCAAGACGAAGAAGGAGTGAGCTTGAAGTGTGACAGGGAAGCAGCCGAGCTGCTCGTATGTTTTTACATTTTTTAATGGAGCTCTGAGCTGCAATCTGAAAAAAATGTGACTTTTGTGGCTTACATTGCTTGTGCGATGCGCTGATTGAGCTCCAAGAAGCTGTATTTCAGCTCCAAGCTCTCGAAAAGAGACTCTTCGACGCCCTTGTAGCTTGCGAGCATCTCGTCCACTTCCACGAGTTTACCCGGGTCGCGTTCCTCGAAGAAGGCCACGAGTCGTGCACGAAACGGATTGTCATGAGTGATGGTCGATGGGGACGAGGAAAACGAGAGTGTTTGTGCCTCTTCATGTCGCTCTGGAGAGGAAGAATACGCAGGTATCAACGATGCAGACGGAGGCGGACGCCCATTCAAGACTGCAATGTCGTCCTCGCTCAACGTATAGGGGATCGACGAGTCTTCTTCCTGTTCTATTGTCTCATCTCGACTTGCTTCACTTGGACTTGCGTCAGTGTGGAGATTATCACTATTTGGAGGTGATTCATTCCTGACTGAAAGGTCTAGCATCGCCACACCTTCCTTTCCCGTTACTGTGTCCCTAGATTGAGCTTCAAAGTCTCCTGGTTGTCGCGGCTGTTGCTGCTTCAGCTCGTCCCGAACTTCCTGCAGCTTCTTCTCATTTTCTTCAGCCTCGTTAATGAGCGTCCTGATCTGCGTCAACAGCAGTTCATTCTGCTTCTTCAACCGCTTGTTCACCATGCGCGCCTCGTTCGCTTCAGCCATGGCCACAGCGATCTGCCCCTCTGTCTGCGTGCGCATGTTACGGATTTCCGTCACGAGCACACGCCTCTGGCCACGAGCTTTTACTAGCTGTTGAGTCAGCTGCAGACGCTCTTGTTCCCAGGTCTGCATTTGTTCTTCGTATTGCTGCTTCGTCGCGGCCATTTCCCTTGCAATTTTTTCCAATCTGGTAGAAGTGCCTGTCAAATGGTTGTTTAAAGGATACCCTAACTCTGCACGACACCGTAACACTGCTGCTTCAGCCTGACCAAGTTCCTGTTCAAGTCGATTGCGGGTCGTCGAGTCCATTTCACTTGCCAGGCTGGTGGTCTCTTCATCGCCACCGTCAAAGTCATCCGTCTGGGCCACAAGATGTTAGTGCAATACCACTCAAGCAGCATGGCAATTGGCGTGCCGTACCATTGCCCAACGATGTTTTTCTTCCAGTAGGGCATCACGTTCCGCTTGGATCTCACGCCATGCTTCACGTTCCCTCTGTATCCGCTGGAGCTCACCTGCGATGGACGCTAATTCTTGCTCCCTCGCCTTCACTTCATTAGCCAAATTCTCCTTCTCTACAATTGCCATGTGCGTCTTCGACCGTTCTTGGTCGCGTTCTGTAGTCAACTTGGCTACACTATCCTCCAAGCTTTCCTACATAAGTGGAGACGAGATGTATGGATAAACTTCGGCGCAATTCGAGCGGCTTCACCACAGCTTAACGTACCATCCGCTCCATCAGCTGCATGTTGAGCCCATTCAGCTCTTCCAACAAACTACGAGCCTCACTGTCCGATCCTCCGCTGCGTTGGGCTTTTGACGATGGAACTACCGCTGTTTCTTCCTGCGACCCAAATAATTTCCAAGCCAGATTCCCCGCTGCGTTAATCGGCGCACTGAGTAGCCAGCTCTGCTGAGCAATAGCCTCCGGGATGTAGGCAGAATACCCCGACTGCTGGCTTGCGTCAGATGATGATCCAGAGCTTACAATTAGCGCCGAGGACAGAGCTGCATCTCGCTCTTGATCGCGCGCCTTCTCCGCTTGAACAGCTTCATCCAGCGCATCAGCAGCTGCAGTCGCTGACTCCATAATGCTGCTGCTCACTACTTGAACCTGGTACAGAACACTCTTCCTGCATAAAAAATTAATAGACACACCAGTTAAGACTCGGGTTTCTACTGTTCAAGTTTACAGTAGATACCCCTCACTTACCCTCGCAGTCTCGAATACGAGTTGTCCCACACTAACGTTGCCTTCCCTGGCCGTAGACACCGGTACAAACCCTGAACAGCACGACTTGTAGTCGTCGACACATATCTCGTCCTCGCGTGCACAATTTCGACGGGTTGCTCGTACGGTTCGGGAGCAAACGACACACTGAAGTCCACGTCGAAATCCTCCAACTCGAACTTCCACACAATAAACTGCGGGGACTCGTCGTCCTTTTTGACCTTCACTTGCATCACGACCTCATGCCGTGAGCCTCTCGGGACATAAAATTTCTCTAACGGAAAAGGTTGCAAGATAAAATCTACCGCTGTCATATGCATTCGAGCGCCTTTGTCCTCGTCGCGTTCAGCTACAAAACTCAGCCAGTCTGGATGCAGGTCTAACATTCCGCAGCGGTGGGCGGCTAGGTAAGCCGTCATCTGAGCACACCATTGGGCTACCACTGAGACGTTGCGATTACCCTTAGACGGGAATTCCGGCAGCGTAGGTTGTTCAGAGGCTCCATCATTTTGCTTCGGAGCCGCCGCTTGGATGCTTTTGAGCACGTCAAACAGCGTGTTTAGCGGCCGTTTGATGCAGTAGGAAGTAACGCCTTTGGTCACGACGAACTCGACGGTGTAAACATGGAGGTCCGAGGTGTAGAGAGACGACGCGAAGGTCTGGGTGATACTGGGAAGGCCTAAGTCGACGCTGGTTACTACGACGTCCAGGAACCGGTCCGCGTCGGAGTTGTCACCTTCATCGACACACAGATATGACGTACAGGATGAACCTGCTGCGGAGCTTGTGAGGGCGTCCTGAGCTCCAGGAGTGGCGCTGGCGTCGACCATTTTTACAGCATCGGACATTGCTGAAATCAGATGAAGTAGGGAAAATGATCAAATCGGTGTAATTTCATATAAAGCTCCACCTTTTTAATTTATCCGTCATTGATTTGGATTCTATCCAAAAAATCGTTGCTCCAAAGATCGAGCTATAAAGTGCTCTAGGAGCAAATGCTATACCGGTATTTTAAACTTAAGCATGTCGTATTAACCCCTTTTCAAAAAGCGAGAATGGGTCGCGTGCAATTCGCTGGTAAAATTTGGTAGTCGGAAACTTTAGCATCCGCGACCAGTCGCCATCCACGGATGGATGTTCCATCTGCAAAGCACAATAATACCAAAAAACTAGCGCTCTGGGCGCCCGCTCCGCGGACGCTAGGGCATGGTTGATTGGTGTAGAGAGGGTTGACCCTCCGCTGCGCTGCGGTGGGCTCAGAAACCCTTACTCAAAGCAAAACTCCATTTAGAATATAAAATATACTGTGCTCAAGTTATGTTGCGTTGCAACAAACGATGTACACAATATCCTTAGTGTTTACGTGTTCTACATCACCAATTGCCTGTCAGCCTACCTCTTGTATTATTTGAAGTCATTTTTGACAGCCTCACTTATAAAAGGTCTGCGTGACGACTGGCTGTTACAAATAGATACCCGCGTGATGGATGGCTATTGTTGAGCATCATGGTACAGGTAGACGTGACAGTAACTATTGCGAAGATGAAGTCTTCGCCGTTACCACCGGGGCTATAAGTCATCTGCATGATGAACACTGTCTTTCCCTAAAAGATTTTGTCTTAATTCTCGGCTAAGCGCTTCGCTCCTGAAATGCCACACTTTCAGGTGCGCTTCATTGCAAAGTTACTTTCGGTTATTTAGAAGGTGGATCAGTATTATTGGTGCGCGAAACCTCAGCATAAATCGGTGAGGAGATCTCAGATAAGTTTAGCGCTAGTAATAACGACGACCGAAGTGTATTGGGATACAACGACATCGGGTGAATTGAGTGACGTGTACTATTTGTCTAGCCGAGAGGTATTCTATACCATATAGCTGATTGCGACGGTCCGTTAGAGCGAGTTTTGTCTGTCTCTGCATGCATATTATTGTTTAGAGCCGCTAGTATCTGCCGAGGGTCACAGAATATACCAATTTCGCCTCTCCATATGCCTCGCTGAGCTCTTCATAGTATCATGATATCAGTGAAGGGCCTGTACGTGATGTTCGCTGACTCGTATCAATAAATTAGATTGTAATTAATAATAAATTTAATCTCATAACCCTTCTATGATAGGATGAACGCCATTGACTTACTTACCGACTTATTTGCATAGCTAATGATTATCAGAGATCTGTATATCCTTTCCGAGTGACATTTACTGGCTCCGATATGTATGGCGAGCATACGAAGCCACTTGGCTGTAGGCATATTATCAGATCGTAGTGATACGTAGACTTGTATCGAATAGTAGCCCGTGTACGTTACATAAAGTACTTTCGCTGTCTACTTTTCAGTTCGGCGTCCTATTTGATGTGTCAGTGCATAGCTCATGACGCAAGGTCGCAAATGGGTATATATGCTATGCCCTCGGGATAGCCAAAACCTATGCATAGGGTCACTGTCGCTTTCACGGTACATTTGCGTCGTCGTGCTGGCTTACTGTGCTTACGCTTCTGATGTATCAGTCTATATGACCAAGCAGGTCACTTACTGGGCACAGGCCATACTGCAGCGATACTGGCAAGCTGGCCGCGCGTCTGTCACCTGTATTCAACGCAGTATCTACGCGCACGGCGGGTACACCTTTTAGCCGTCCGCGACTGAGCCGAGCTCTTATCTTGACCATTATGGACAGGGCACTAAAGTATAGTACTGCGTACAGACAGTTCGACTTACCACACCCACCGGTATTGTTTGCGCTACCGCACACGTGCTCGTATCTATGTAGACAGCAACTTAATCGTCGCGTGTAGTGCTCACTCGATGCTGTAGTTTCAATTTGTGAGCGCACATTAATGGAACATACGCTGTGAGCGCTGATGTCACAGATAGCATGGTTTGCATGTAAGCAAGTGAGCGAGTGTACTCTCGATCTATTGTTATGCGGAAGCAGATAGGGACAGTCAGCTTGCAAGGGTTCGCAGTAGACACCATGCGCTAATTATTATTTGAAGCGCGCTACCCTCTGTAGGTGCGTCAACACTATTGGCAGCGCCATAGTTAACTTACCGTTAATGCGGCCCCAAGCCTCGCACCGTCAGCCAGTATACCAAAAACAAAAATAGGTAGGAAAATGGGGGCCTAGAAGGGTATATTTACCAATTACTTGCTCTTCTGCTGCTTCTTTTGCTCGATGTACCTGGCGTTTCGGGCGGTCAGCTTGCGAGGGCGGCTGCGCCTCTTTTTCCTCTTGGAATACCAGTCAGGGTCCATCGCCTTCATGGCGTTTGCCAGGCTTTCCTGGCGGCGCACGTTGGTCGAATCAGGTGGTGGGGGCTTTTCCTCCCAGAACTCAACCGCTTTTGGGCCGTTCTCGCAGGCAATACAGCGCCGCACGATGTCCCGCCCGCTCATTGTACGGAGCGCGTAACCCTGCTGCAGCTTCCCACAGCAGATGCAGCGCGCCAGTGGGTCCATCGTAGACCGCTGCGGGCTCAGCAGAAGCTGGTCAATCTTCGCCTTGCATTGCTTGCACGTAGGGCCCACCATATTGCAAACTGTGAGTAAGTTAGCAAAACTTATTGTTTTAACCAATTCCTTGCGTCAAAATATTAGCCAATAGCACGGTACTGTAAGGCTGGTATTTATTATTAGGCAAAATATTAAAATGTTTTTAAATATTACTATTTGGCTTTGCTATAATATATTATTATCAGATTTCCAAACAAATACATACTTTACATGCAATATAAATTGACTAAAAGACTATGTACCTTGCGCGCATGCATTCGTCGGGTGCGGTGCACGGGAGCAGATAGCGCAATGAGCGTGCAGCCGCGCCCCTTCATTGCACGGTGGCAGTGGTGAGTGCCAAGTGAAGTAAGAAAGATATATATTTGCAAAGTCCCTACAAAAAGCGCTGGTCGTGAAGCCTACTTTAAAATAAAAAATACTATCGTCTCTACTTTAATGAGTGTGTGTGGAAAATAGCATCGCCGAGCTCTTACAAATGCGGCCTGTGAAGCTTATATTAATATCGTCTTTACTTTGAAAAGTGTGTGGAAAATAGCATCCCAGAGCTCTTACAAAATACTGGTCTGTGAAGTCTACATTAATAATAATAATTATTTTATTTGAGAAAGTGTGCAGAGCTCTTAGAAAATAAAGGGGTTACTGTGCCCGATTTGCAGTACATACGACAGGTTTGGCGTAGCTAAACGTCAATAATCAATCATCTGCGCAGCTCGCCTGGCTGTTTGCAGCTAATCGATGTGTTTCATTCTCGGCAGAAATGTTTACCTTACGTCCAATCGCGAGGGCGAGAGGCGGTCTGATCGTGCGACAGATCCAGTCAGTGTCGCAGATCGGCATGTATTGCCCAATCAGATGGCGAGTTAATTGTGTGACGCTTTTGGATATATTTGACATTTTGGCATAGTTAGGTCGAGTCAGAAAGGTAGGCGCGATCGGTAGGATCGGATGAAACTGTATTAGACAGGCCAAGTGTAGCCATGCGAAAAGGCAGAAAAAAGCAGCAAGAAAGGAACCGGACGGACTTATTGACAGACGGACACGCTAGAAGGTTAAGAGGCGGGAAACTAGCGCTCTGGGCGCCCGCTCCGCGGACGCTAGGGCATGGTTGGTTGGTGCCGGGAGGTTTGACCACCTCTGCTGCGCTGCGGTGTGCTTAGATTTTCTTTTAAAAGCGAAGCTACATATAATATATGTACACTGTGATCTACTTATGTTACGTTCCAAAATCACACTGCACATAATACTCTTAGTGCTCACATGTTATGGGAGACATTGCCCGGGTTTAACGTGATCTGCAAGATGAGCACCATCTTACCCGGGAAGGTTTGGGCTATAATCCCATTTGAGCGCATAGCTCCCCGAATGAGACGAATCGGAGGCGCGCGTGGCTGCAAATGTAATATACGCTGTTCAGAAGACGGGTCAGTATCAATGATACTACGAAATCCCAGTTTAGCTGAAGTAAATACGCCTATTCCTTTGATTGCGACGGTCTATTAGAGCAAGGTTTGATCCGTTCCACGCGTGAAGTATCTTTTAGGACAGGTAGAAGGTCGCCACAAACACCAATATTATGTCTTAAAATTGCTTCGCTGAGCTCTTTATGATATTACTAAAGGGTCTTTCAACTACCTTTCACATGCATTAATCTTACTTGTCTAGCTGGCGCACTTACTGACTTCTTTGCATAGCTACTGACTGACCGAGTGACGTAGATCCTTTCCGAGTGGCAAGCTCTAATATGTATGACGAACATGCGAAACCATATCGATATAGGCAGATTATCATGTTGTAGTGGTGTTTAGACTTGAATTGAATAGTAGCTCATGTACGTTAGATGCTGTAATCTCGCTACCACTTATCAGCTCGGCGTGTTGTTTAATATATCTATGCATAACTTATTTCGTAAGCTCGTCGGCGCCACGCTCTCGCGGTAGCCAAAGCACATGGGGTCACTGTCGATTTCTTGGTACATTTGCATCATGGTGCTGGCTTACTGTGCTTACGCTTCTAATGTATCAGTCTATACGACCAGACCGGTCACTAACTGGGCACAGGCCATACCGCAGCGATATAGGCAAGCTGGTCGCGCGTCTCTTAGCAGTAGTGCTTTACACGCGCGCGGCGGGTACACCTTGTAGCCATCCGCGACTCAACCGAGCTCATAGGTCGACCATTATAGATAGGACACTAAAATACAGAGCTGCATACAGGCACATCGACCTGCAACATCCACCTGTATGGTCTGCATTACCGCACACGTTCTCGTATCTACGTAGACAGCAACAGTTTTGTCGCACGTACTACTCACTTAATACTGTAGTTTCAATTTGCGAGCGCACA